TTAAATAAGTTCGTTCGATGTCCGCATACAAACAAGAAATTCTTTGCTCCACTGTGTTTATTGCAGAATGGGTCAGACCAGCTACCGTACTCTTACAAAGGTTTACGGTCATGAATGAGATATTTGAGGGGTCCGGTCATGTCAATGTATTACAAAGAATCTTTAAAACAACCGCTTTTTGGCATGGTATTTCATGTGGGTTCATATTTTTATTTTAATTCGTTTCGCAACTTCCCTTCTACTATTTCAGCAAACTTTATCTGTCCTGCTTTATTTCGCTTACTGTATAAAAGTAGGCGCATCTTCGAATTTTATAATGAGCAATGAGGTATTTTCGAACAAAGATTACGCTGGATATTGAAATTGATTCAATCTTTGTGAAAAAAAATTCTACACCACTTTTATGGCGATGAGGATTTTCCTTTAGCTCGATGTTGATTTTCATGAAATTTTTGATAATAGTTTTCTAACGATAGGTCGGCTGCTCCTTTTGAGAGGTTGAATTTCATTTTTGATTACATTAACAAGTTTTAAAAATGATTCGTTTTGCCTGTTACTGCGGAGATTAGTTGTCATATTTAAGAGAAGAGTTTATTTGGACACGAATTTTAGAAGCCCCGAATGTACATCTGAATCGTCCTCGTTGCCACCCTTCATAAGGTGGCGCCATACATACAGGCTACATATTTTACAGATATTCCGATTTTATGCTCCATCAAGCGATATCTTCGCTTCACCTTTTTCTATTGGCGACAGCTATAAAGTAACAAACTTGTTTTCGTTGAAATACCGCAGATTAACGGTTGGACGCTTAGCTAAGAAACGAAAACTGTGGTAAAGCTGGAAAGACTAGTCGGTCAACAGGTGTTTTGTTGATTCTCCATCCCGTGGATTCTTCTGGATTCAGAAATAGTGGGAGTAATAATAAATTCGATGGATTTCATGGATCTGAGGAAGAAATAATTCAAAAACGTTTTGACTGGTTTTGTTGGAATTTTCTAAATCTGCATAACCATCTAATTATACAATAAATCATCTATCTATCTGTAAATTTAGCAGAATTTCTAATTTTCATCTCTTTACTTCCTTAGCGCTCGAAGATCTGAAAAATATAAATACCTACCTCAATTCCTCTATTTTCTAGTCCTCTAAATCCAAAAGTATCACCACGATCTATCCGAATGCACCTAAAGCGCTTGTTTAGCTATCAGGTCCAAATTCAAATCAAACCAACCATTCGTAGATGCGTGGACCATAGATCGTAGAGAAATTGTCAGAATCTCTCATTGAGAACGTAGACATCACTTCAAATCGCCAAAAGTGAACGAACTGTAACTTGTCGCCAAGTACGGGCATGGCCGTTTCACGGTAATCCGGCTAACGAATGGAACTCCCCTACCAAGCAGAACTTCAAATTTTTGTAAGTCCTAGCGTAATCATTGTCCATACTCATTTGGGATAACTGGTTTGTCGGTGGGAAATACTCTCGCATACTTCTGACTTCTGAAAGGATTGCTCGCAACAGCTTACTTATCTACAATTCATTTTTTTCATTCAGACCTGAGGCTAAGCGAGATTTCTTTTAGTTAAAAGGGCCTTATTTCCACCGAAACCAATAACCTAATATTTAGAAAATTCAAAATAGAAGCAAACACCTCAAGAAAAAGCATTTTTTCTATATTCTTTTTCCGATATTTGATCCGCATGGTAACGATTTGGAAATGCGCGCTTTTGGTAAGTAATTGTTACTAAAACTTAAGCCTTGTGTTGAATATACAAAATCATTTTCAAAATGACTGAGCAATTAGATAATTATGAGTGAGATAAGTCAATTAATCAATAAGTCTCTCAGATAAAAAAAGTGAGAAAAAATTAAATAAAACCCCAACATCTTCAATGCCTATGTGATTACATTCAAGGATCACAGATGCACCCATTTACCTTGATCCTATTTCTTCCAAATTCAATCAAGCCGTTTGCCTTCGTTGAATGCGTTATGCTATTTTGTTATTGGGAGTTTTCTAGGTCTTCCGCTACCTAACAACGAAATCAGTTTAATAGATAAAGCATACCCATATTTTAATATCTTATTATTCGTTTTGTTATTCTACTGAACTCACTAAAATTCCAAAGGAAAAGGTTGATTGGAATATTATGAAGAAATATTAGATCGTGATGAGCGCTGACAAACAAGCAACTTTCTTGAAGAATCAATAAATGGTAATTATTCAATCGTTTA